ATTTATTGCCAGTGCTGAATGCAGACCAGGAGCCCCATGAGCTGTCAATGCTGTGGCGCAATTGGAGTCAACTGGGGCACTGTAAAGCCTCAGCTGTTCTGAGAAAACTTTGCTAAATCCATTCAGCTTTCAAGTCCAGCAGTCCCTAGAGGTTTAGATGTACATCCTCTTCTAAATGCAGCCAGTTGTATTTATCATCATTAAATACAACACTAGACTGAAAAGGGATTGGAATTACTCCTGTAAGATGCCACTGAAGTCACAGGCATAGACTTCAGGGAAGTCTACACCTTACACGGAGCAGCCTTTGGGAGTAAAGATCTTTGCACAGTCCTTGCAGATAAGACTGTGCTGCCTGCAACCTTGCATTTCTTTCTGAGAGCTTGACCTGCCATTTCAGTAAAAGATTTCGAGTGTACCTCTGTATATTTCAAGTTGGTTTTAACTGATAGCCTTCCTGATAAACAGGTGAGCAGCAAAGAGAATACTGCCAACCTGCCCTGCAGTTAGTCCTCAGCACGTTAATGACTTCCTGATCAAACACAAGGAGTATGGGCTCTGAGGGGCTCTTTCCCTGCCCAGCAGCTGCTCGTAATGAATACTGTGGATGCACTTTTCATAGAAAGAAGCGTTTCACTAGCAGAAAATGCAATGGTTTTATCAAGATTTACCTACATCTCTGCTTTGCATTTGTGTATGGACAAGCCCATCAGAAGCCAAGCAAAGAGATGATCCCAGGTTTGCAGAATGTAGGCTTCAAGTAAAACAGATAGCAATGCCTGCTTTGCATTGCTTCATTAGCAAGCTGTAAAATATTTTACCTTGATATGAATACTAAGGTATTAAATTATATTGAATCCAAATCCATAAGAAGTTTATATCTCAGCATGGTCTGTTATTTGTCTTCACCCCACACTTTGTAATCACTTTTTCTCCTTTAATTTGAGGATATTCAAATGGCTTAGCCGTATTTCTCTAGCCTAAACTAACAGACAGACATAATTACTAATTTTTTTTACTATAGAATCATGCCTTTGTATTGCCAAAAACCATGCTCATGGCTTCCATGTTTGATCATGTTGTAACAAACTCTAGATGTCACCATGTCATTTTCAGAACAGAAAGTAGATGCAATTTTCCATTTGGCATGTATTTCTTCTGCTGCTCACAGCAGAATGGGCTGCGGTGCTGCAGCTTGGATTGCGTACCCTGTGTAGCCAAGATAATGAGATATCTCTAAGGTGATGTAAACCAAAATCTGTTGTTCTAAACATATTAGGTAGGCCTAACTGTGTTGGTTTGTTGACAGCATTTGGAACTATTTGGGCAAGGGCCCCAGAATCATGGTCAGCAACATAGTCTTCCTGGCCTGTGTCTGAGAAGACCGTGTAACTCTTCAGCTGGTCAGAGCATGTGACGTTTGTATTGAAGATCTGCTTTGTGGTTTTTTTTTGTTTTTGGGTGTTTTTTTTTCTGCCTAAAACCAAAGTTATATGCTGGAAAGCAGACAAATCATGCAGTGCTGTCTGGCCGGATGATTTCCTGACATGCAAGGAAACTACTTCTAATCTCAAGTCTAGTGAATTTGATGTGAGGCTACAGCTCACCTGGAAAATCAGGAGCTGCAGGTGTTGTCTTCTCTGTGCTCATGTATGGACCTGAGATGTGGGAGGTGCTGCACAGTAGGTTATGCTGGAGGCATTTTGTGAATACTGTCAGTGATGTTTGTTGGTGCAGAGAGGATTATTTCACATTTAGAAAAATCCACTTGTGCAGTCACATCCTCTAAATACTGTGTCAGTGCATGGCTTTCCTGCTCTGAGGCGCGGACTGCACTGACCTGCAGCAGGACCTGCAGTCAGACACAGACAGAGCAATGCTTTGGTGTTGCTGCTGTCCTGTCGCTGAGCACAGCACAAGGGGAGCAGATCCCAGCACAGAGCATGGCCCTTGTGAGTGCAGAGCATGTTGGGGGATCTCATATTTCCTGAAACCCAGTAATTAAGGCACAAGGTGGAGAGCTGGGAATTTGTGGACTTCTATTTTGCTGGAATGCCTGTTGTCGTTTCTCCACGTGTAAAGGAATGAATGCACCTCACAAAGGCAATGGGAGGAAACTACAATAAAGCAGTAGCACTAGAGGTGCTCAATTGATAGTGATAAGGACTGTGGACAGATTGTGTTCTGATGACACTACAAAAGGTAGAGGAACGTTTTATCTTTCGAAGCTCTCTGCCTGGGAATCTGGAAAGCATATGGCCAGTGAGGCCAGGAGAGAGGCAGCAGTTGTTATCACAGTGAAAACTGTTATTCAGCAGAAACAGAATTCGAAGCTGTACTTTATAATTAATTTAACTTGGTGTCACATTCTGCTTTTGAGTTGAACTTTAGGTACTTGCCAACTGAGAAGTACAGGGGAGTTCTGTGGGGCTCATGGTTAGCTGTTGCTGTTATCCCAGAGATGCTCTTGGATGTTTTAGTTGGAGATCTAAATAGTTCTGGCATTTGTACTCACCAGACTTTGTTACTGTATTTGTCTCACAGCTTTTAAACAGCAGAAAACATGTACAACGTATTTAAACAACACCAGAGAAATTAAGGTCATGAGAATGCATCATCAAAAAATGAAGATAAAAAAGAGCTGTTGTTTTTTTTAAAAAAAAAAGAAAAAACAAACTGTTGTTGCAAGGCGCTTTTGAAATTCTACATACCAAATTCAGAGTCATGTTGATGATTTATTCTAATGTAGGAAAACATCATCAAGAGTGACAAGCAAGCTAGTCACTGTCTAGTCACCTGCCAGCAAATATTTCATAAAGACTAAAAAGGCTGGTACTGCTTTGCTGAGCTGACACTAATTATTTCAGTATGCATGGAGCTTTGGGATTCGTGTTAATTCTCAAGTCTGTCTTTAGTTCAGACTCATTCCACTGTGTAAACCCAGCAGCGCACAAATTATTTGACCATCCTTTCATAATCTGTCCCCATGCTCACTTGCCAATTATATAAACTGATCCAAATACCTGCTCTCCAAGGAACCCCATATGGGAATCACAAGCCAATTTAAAAGAAGGAGGATATCCACTTTTCTGTAGCTCATGTCTGCTAGTCCTATTTCACGCTGACATTCGTTTCTGGTTATCTTCTTGAGATAACGTGGTTTACATCAGTATTCAGAAAAGATACCTTTCTGGTGATAAAGCCCTTTTTAGATTAAAGCTATTGGACATAGCACACTGCATCCCATAAGAAAGATGAGTTCAATGGTCTCTACCACATCCTGAATATCCTAAAAGACTCTCCCATTGCTGGAGCGTGATGTTCTTTCTTTGTTCATTACAAACTTGAGTATTTGTAGAACAGCTTCTAAATATTGAAGGATAGCATAGTGATCTTGTAGCAACTTAGTGATAGGGCTTGGAGAAGGTGTACAGAACAGTGCTGGAGCACAAAACACCAGTCGTATTGGTGGTGTGAATTAGCATGGGAGACAGTTTGAGAAACATGGCTAGAGATATGACTGAAAAAGACTACATTTATCTGCTCTCTAAAAATTCACCTCTGTTCTAAGTGGCTCATTTTTAAGGTCTGCAGTAAAGATAGCTGCTTTTGTGCACAAATGCCTCCTGTAGCTGCAGCCAGCAGCTGTTTGCGCTCCACAGGTACCAGCAATCAGGGCCACAGCCCAGCTGTGAGAATGGCCTCCTTGCTGCCACGTCCAGCTCTCAGCATGCAGAAGGGCCACACAGCTTCACAGCCACCACTGAGCTGCAGATATTGTTAGTTTTCAGGTGGCTGCCTGCTTCATTGCACTTCCAGGCTGAGAACTACTGAAATGTGCTGCTAGATGGACTTACATCACGCTACAAATTTCAAAGCAGTGATTCTTGCTGAAGTCAGTACCTACAAATAACTGCTTGCAAATATGTGTTGGTTGTTTGAGTTTGTATGTTTGGAGCAAAACTAAAACTTAGCATAGCATAAAATTGCAAGGACCTCAACAAAACTTTGCTGTGTTTCTCTTAGTGCTCGATGGTGTTCTTGTGTTTGGGGTGTAAAGATTTGTAGGAGGTTGTCTGCTTCTTTAAGACTGCACAGTCAAGAGCCTTTCCAAGGCATAAAGGGATGAGGAGAGAAGGAGACATTGATGGAAGCCAAGTTGGGTCAGTCACCTTAATTTATGGGCATGTGGGAAAGTGGGAATGTTTATTCCAGCAGAGTTATGGGATGGAGGTCTTCTAAGCTAGGAGACAATGACAAGAAACAAACCTCCCTCTGATCAGGGTGACCAGCACCAAAGTTTGCCATGGACAGAATCAGTTGTTTAAAAAAGCATCATAAAGAATGACTCACAAGCACTTCAAATCATGAAAACTGTTTGACTGAGATACTTTCCAGGCTACATGGAGAGATACGTATTTGAGATTTGTATTCAAAACCCAGCTTTTATAAAAAGGTCACTCCTTGTGCAGTACTAAGTTGAACTCATCCACCTTTGAAGCCAAGAGGCTACTCTCCCTCTGGTTCTGATGTGTTTGGTTTGGCCAGATGCACCTGCAGAACCATGGGCCAGCTGGCTAACACCAAGGAGCAGAGTAACTTTGTGCTATAAACCCGAACCTATAATATAGTAAAGGAATTTTCTTCTTCTTTTTTCTTTTTTTTTTCCTTTGTTTTGCATGTATTAGAAATTTGCAGGAACTTCTTTGCCCCAGTGTGCTGCTAAAGCTCCCTGCAGCTGGTGTAATGAAGACGATATATTCTGGGAGGCATCTTGATTTGAGACTGACAGCTCCATATATCTGTGAAAATGAAGTGGCAGCTGAGTTGACAGTAAAGCATATTGTGTCTTTGTGATGCAGGAATATATCATGTTAATAACAATAATTTTCACAGTTCCATGTGACCATTTGCAAGCAGGGAAGCGCTGCTGTTGGGAGAGGTCCTAAGAAATGAGGAGGCAGAAGCTAACTGGGTTTGCTTTTTTGCTTCCAAAACAGCCAAAGGGAAGGAAGAGTGCACCCATGGACCTGGCACAGCAGCAAAGTGACACCCTGCTCCCCTGGCGCCAACACCAGAGCGTGAAAGGCCTCCGGAGACAGAAGCGAGACTGGGTCATCCCCCCCATCAACGTGCCAGAAAATTCAAGGGGCCCTTTTCCTCAGCAACTGGTCCGGGTAAGTTGAAATAAGTAGAGATAGCAATCGCGGTAGTCTTGCAATGGGTCGAGGGAAGTCATGGGTGCAGGCCAAGCTCATGGCAGAGGAAGGCTGGCTTGATGCACAAGATCTTTTCCTCGTGCAGGAGAAGTTTCCTTTTACATGCTGCTGAAGCACTGGTTTTCTGAAGCAAACTGTCCCCATTTCTCTCCCCTGACTGAACAACAGCCTAATCGCCTCCTTCCAGCCAGTCCCCCGGGAGACGCTGGCGTTGCAGCCAAGATGGCACTTTGCCCATGCTGTCATCCAGCAAATGGCTGCAGGTGTAAAGCTGGGATTGGTGACACCCAGCGCTGCAGGGTGCCACGTCCTTCCCCTCCTGCCCTGAGCCCAGCACAGATGTGTGGCAGGGCTGGAGGAGGCTGGCTGCATGCCGCCGCAGATGGATCCCTCGTCCTCGGCATGCTGCTGGCTTCTTTCTTTACAAGGACGATCACCAAGATCAGGTTTGCCTGTGTGGCTTTCTGTGATGGTTATTGGGAGACATAAAAAGAAAGGGAAAAGGGCTTTGACAGACATATTTGGTTGTATATTTGCTGTTGACATGTGTTTGCCACATACAGTTACACGTTGATATTCCTCTAGTTGTAGTTTTTGGAGTGGTAGAAAGATTGGATGTAAAAAAAGAATTTCCTGGCAGAGTTTTTCAGCTCTTCCCTTGGAAGAAAATTGTGACAAATGTAAAATTTCAGACCTCGTTTTGAGGAACAGTGGTGTGCAATTGGCACCCCTTTTCAGGAAATTCACCTCATCATCTTGAAACAGTGCCTAGATTCAAATGAGCAGTTCTCATTATCTGTTTCCCATGGATTAGCTCATAGTTTCCTGCACAGCCGATGTCTGGGAGGGCACAGTGAGCTGGCTGAGTCCTTCAGAAGTTCAGGTGAACTTTGCAAGGACCCCTGTAGTGACTGAAGGGGCATGTGCTCCGTTCACTGAGTAATGGGTTCACTGGAGTTGTTGGTGACATTTCTTTGTGTAATTGGGGAAATATGACAAGAAATGAAAAAGTATTAGGTGGCAAATGTTTCTGTGTCTGTCCTATAGAAAGGAATCTGTGAATCTCTTTGTTCAGCCGTGCTGGGTAAGGAGTGACCCATTAAAGTTTTGTCTTAACATGTTGAAGAGATGTCTAAAGAGAATTACTGAATGTGTCAAAAATACCTTTAATAAGGTATTGATAATTTAGGTTAATTCCTGCATTTCTGTGAAAAATAAGAGGGCTAATAGCAAAATGAACTTAAGCCCTGCCACATTCCCTTCTGATTTCTTTGGGGCTTTGACTAGACAGTGAGAGACCAACTTGGTACCACTGTACCCTGGCAAATGTATTGATTTATAAGGACTGAAATCTCTGTGGCACTGGGGATGAAACAGGAGACCTCAGGAATGCTATACTCCAGTATTAGTGAGAGTGAAAAATGTTAGATTTTATATCAGTACGGGAGCATTGGTATTCATCACTTAAACTGCCAGTAACCTTGGAAAGATAACCCAGCTGTTGGAAATGCAGGGCTCCCAGACTGTCACAGAAATACATTCCAATGTGGTTTTTAAATATAGATGCTAGTGGATATACTGAAAAATAAATAAAAAATGGGGTAGGAAAGAAAAATGATTTAAAAGTGCTGCTCTCCTTTGCTTCTGACATGCAGAAAGTATTGTAATGACAGGGAAGATCATAGCTTTGTACAAATGGTGCAACTTGATTAAGCGTGAGAACCCCTGATGTTTCAGGCTTGGTTCGAGTTTCTGCTCATCTGTAGCAACTGGCCCATTTGCTGGCCCCTGAACATGAAGGTTGGGTGATTCCTAGCAGGAGTTATAGCTTTTCCTGCTAAGCTTTACTCCTTAATTATCCAGAATAGGACAAATCGACATTTCAAAGACCAGCACTATCTGGTTATTTCCATCCACATAATCTTCAGATTGCCCTGGAGCATTCTGCTGTCTCCAAGATCTAGGTAACAGTTTTGATCTGATTTCCCATGCTTTTGCTCACTGGGCACTGAATATTTTTTTGTCCATCTGCTCACAAACTGCAGCTCGAAGTGCACATGTGAAGTTACAGCACAGATTGGTATGGAAAGAAGACTGTCAGTTTTTTCTGCTAGTTTACATAAAGTGTTCAAACCTAATGCTAGGTCCTGGACTCTGGACTTTGTGTAGTCTGGAAGGCCCTGCTTGTATTTACACTTGATAGGTATAACTAATGCAAACCCATCCTTCCGTCACCATGTGTGTGGTTGTGGTTACATGGAAGGAAAAGATGGCATGAAAAGTAAACAAAAAAGCCCTGCCAGAAGTACATTTTCATTGTACCACTCGGTGGTTGCATTTTTATAGGTCACACTAATTTGAAATGCATAGGCAAATCTTTTGGGTCCCCTCCTACTCCTGCTTCCTATTGTGAAGGTAAAAATTCCATTTTGTGGAAGTTGATTAGTTACTTGTCAGTATTTTTAGCAAGGCTGTGCCTGAATGAAGTTTAAATCATAGCAAAGGTGAATGCAGCTTGATGGCAGCTCCACACCTCGGAGTGCAGCCCTATCTGGTTCAGCTGCGATCAGATGTAATTCTGTGCTCATTAAAGCATTTCATTCTGATAAAAAACATTAAATGAAAATCTTTTTAAAAAATGGGAAAAAAAAGTCAAAACATTATCTCTGCCAAAAAATCTTCCCTTAATTACAGGGTATTTTTTTTTTCTTTCAAAGGAACATCCATGTCTGCTCATATGCATCAACCACACTAACTAGGAAATGTGTTTAAGAAAAATAGTAGATACTAAAAAAAAAAGGAATTTCTGAATTTCAGATGCTGAAAAAATTCTATTTGTAGATACAAATAATGGATCAGTTAATCAGAGTATAAATAAATATCTTATGTGCATAAAGTAAAAGTAATGGTTTAGTGGTGGTATAGATGTTTTGCAAATTATGGTTTTGTCTTCAAGCTGAAAAAAAATGTGATCAATTTTATTGATATATACATATTTACTTTGCAAACATTTATGAAAATCATGGTCTTAATTTCCTTGTGCCTAACTTCTACCTTTGTATTAGGAATAGCATTTTACATGCTGTGAAATATTTTACTGTAGTGAGGATAATTTCATTACTAATTGTCAGGCACTCTCATTATTATAACCATGAGGTCCGTAAGAATGCCTATTAAAAATACAAAAACAATATGAAATCCCCCTCCTCCCCTGAGCAAATGACTCATACAGCACACTGATCAACTGAGATAAAATATTTAATAGTCGCTTCTTTGCTGAGTACCCTTTATTTTCTCACTGACTCATGCTCTTTTTAGCCACATGTGTAGCTAATTCTTAATTATCTATTATCTAATTATCTGTTAGCTAATCCTGTATTTCATCCTCTTTTTTTTTTTTTTAACTTTGAGTAGTATCTCAGCTTGGGGTCCACCTGCAAGTCTCTAGCTTCTTCTGATGGAAATATGGAGGTAGTTTCAGAGGCTAAAGCCTTTGCTCGTCACACAGGGGCTGTATGAAAGCCATTCATTTACATGGCAGAGAGTGCTGTGGAGGAACAGCCTTCGGTCATGGCAAGCTTAGATGATGGACTCCTTTATCAACCACTGCAACAGCACTTATTTCATGAATGCTCCAGACTTCCATCTTTATCTCTTGGGAGCTGCCTGTCTCCAGCTCGATCTGCATTGGCCCTAATTTTCCCAGCTTGCATGTATTAAACAATTAAAAAATTAAATTTTTACTCCTGAGATCTCTTACCATAAACAACTTGTTTATTTTCATTACACCAGCATGAAAATCCACTGCAAATGACTGAGACAGGATCTTGGTGCTCTCACAAACTGCTTGATTGCATGCTACAAACACAGCATGCTCGCTCCTATCCAGTGCTGGTAATCTCAGACACAAGAATACTAGAAACAATCTAATGTGTGTAACAGGGAACAAGAAGGAAGGCTGCATCTTATGTAAATTTAATCAGAATGTCCTGAAGTGCTTTGGAAAGTTGGAATATAGTATACCTGAGGATTCTTGTGTTGTTTCTTGGCAGCGGTGCCGTTGATTGGTTGGGTTTCATACAGCACAGTGCATGTTAATGCAGCGAAGAGATCTTTCAGAAGTGCCAGAAAACCCCAAAAGTGGACTCATGAATGGATTTAGCACATGTTAAGCTACATGGCCAAACTGGGTATTCCGTATGAAAAGAATTAATAGCACAGTCAGGAGCTGTACAGCCTGTTTGGGGTCCATAGCCTGACCTGGCACGAGGAATAAATGGAGTGAGACAGTTCTTCATAAGTCTCAAATCCTGGTACTGGAGGTGCACACAAGGTGTACACTGAGCTGAGGAATCCCAGCTGGCACAGGCTGTCAGACCTCAATATTGCTGTTTCTTTTGCTCATCACAGATATTTCAGCATGCACCTTTGCACTGTTTTAAATAGTTTTATTGTAGGAAATCCCTCATGCCTCCTCTATCAACCACGTTGCTTACTGCTGTGAAATTGGCAGTTCAGAATCCATTAACTCCCAGCTGCAAGACAGATGGCATCTGTCTGTGGTGAGAGAAGGTTTGTTGAGAAAAGGCCTCGCAAATGCTTCCCGAAGGACATCAGACCTCACTTTTCCTGAGAGACGCATGGACAGCTTTGATTACAAATAGGCCTAGATCTTTCCTCTTCATGAGAACAGGTGTTTCTTTTGCCTCTCTACTGCAAACAATGAGAAAAACCCACCATGATTCCGGAACTCTGTACATCTCATCTTTGGTATCCCTGCGAACGTCACCAGCTGAAGTTTGGAAATTAGATGTTTTTGTCTATACTGGGGCAGCAATGAGAAGGAGCAAGCCAAGGGTGGAGATGCGGGGCATCATGCAGACTGTGCTGCTCTGCAGAGCCACTGCCTTTCTTTGAAAGGTGGTTGAAGGATGGGAGATTGCATGGCACAAACCAGC